GATTGACTAATCGAAATAACAACCTCTAGTTATGAAGTCATTTATAATAATGAGTAATCGTATTCTTAATCAAAGTTTCGACTTTCCAATATTCAACATTAGCTCTAACGTTATTAATTTTGATCTTTATAGATAATGAATTTAACAGTCATATACAATAAAAATTGATTTAAATCTCCATATTCGTTTTTTTCTTTTTAAGTGAGTTTCTCGACTAAAATTGATCAAACTTATAAAGACTTTACATCAAAAAGATCTAGGATATCGATATAACTTCATAGTTATGTTCAATGGAACTCATCACGCTCCAGTGTTCACCTCGAAAGATACTAAGCTCACAAAATCCTCCATACAAAACAACACTGATTACATAATATGTTGGGAAGAATTATTTTTATTTTCATGAAATAATTGTTAAGATCTTAGCGATACGTATTATAGTGTCATCATGTATCATATATTGTAAGGATCTTTTGTTTTATAAATCCGACATTAGTTGACAATAACTTTGTTTTGTCAGTCTGTATTTTCATTTCTATAGAGACTTTTAAATGAATTTTTTTAAAAATTCAGTCAGTTGTTAACACTCCATAAATAATTTTAATAGTAATACCATGTTATTCTAATTAAAAAACTGACTTTTCTAATAGTGTGCTTCATTGAAAGTGTTTGATTTACTTAATTTCCTATTTACGGTATGCTTTGAGTAAAAAAATAAATCGAGGAAACATTCTAATCATATTTCTAGAAAACAGTGTGTATAATTAATGATACTGGCTAGAGACGAATAGTATACTGGTTTATAAGAAAAGTCCTCGATTCTATTTCATTTTAAATATTAGGGAATATCGTAGTTATTTCAAATGAATTCAAGAAAATGAGGAATATGCATTTGCAAAGACTGTTGTTTTCAATTTCAGTTAGCACTCCATCCCTTATTCTATCAGTCTGAATTATTTTGAGTATTTAAAAAGCGAAATTGTTTAAAAATAATAGTCAAAGTTCCAAATCACACTATTAGACAACAATGACATATTTTTAATTACTAACATGTATGGTTATAAATTTGTTGGTGTTCATGTTACCAGCTGATAAATAACCAGAAACTAGACTTGATATTTTGTCATGTTTCAAAAATTATCTAAGTATATTTACAGTGTCTTTATTGTTATAATAATACAATGATTATGAAATAATACCTACCTTATGTCATACTGTGCCACAAAGGAACAAATTGCGTCGATGATTAGAAACAGACATCAAAAGAATGAATAACAACTAGAAGTAGCTGGAAAGGATTACTTATTAGGGGTAACACGTGTAAGTAACTAAGTATGTCGAAAGTACACAAATATTGAAATTTCAACTTCACTCATTGCCATGGGATTCGATTAAAGTAAAAATAGCTGTGTACAAACTTACACTACAAATTGATTTTTTTTGGTTTTATGTAAAAAGTTAGTTTCTTTTGACTCAAATACCAGATAACTTGGGCAAAATAATATGAGAAAAACTTGAAAATGATGAAAGCTTTATGATGTATATACGGTAAAGTTTCAACTGATTGTTTACATCTGAAAGTTATTTGTTTAGAAATTATACTTTAAATAATTCATTAAGTAACCATTTAGTTAAAGAAAACTCCTATAGTTGCTGTTGTCATGGCAATATACCAGATTTCAATTTGACTCATTTGACAGGATGAAAATGTAATCTCACGGTAACAATATTTGTATAATTGCATTTACAATAAATAATCTGGATCAATTTGACAAAAACTAAGTTTCATATAGTTTGTAACAACTTATGGATAGGCATTTAAGTAGTGAATCAATTATTCATAACTATAAATCAAAATAAAACGATTTTATTTTTTTCTAAACTGTTTGTTTCATTCAATTAGTGGATTGACAAATAAATAAACACGTTAAGGCATAGTTACCATAAAAATTACAGATTTGTTTACTAAATATGTCATTTAGTATAAGAAAAAAAATTGTTTTGCCTACAATTTATTATTCATTGTCAAATTGATATGAATAAATAACTCAGGTTTATTGTTTGGTATATAGAGTAAATAAAATAAAAATTATCTGCCTACCACATTGTTTAATTCTAATCTTATACTATGTATAGATTATATTCATCAAACAGGGGAAAAAGTGTTTATAACCAATGGACATATACTGAAAACTAATTTAAGATAATAAATTACTCAATAATTATTTTGTACTAGTTTAAAAAGTTGTAATAGTTTGTTTGTACCTTTACACAGTAATATTTTACGTCGAAAGCAGCAATTGCGGCATATATATTTAATTATAAAAACTAGAATACATTGTACAATGTATAGCGACCCTTATCCAATAAATTATTATCTAATTGTCTATATATAGATGGAACCATATCGATTTTTGTCGATGGATTTAGGATTTATATGTCAAAGTACAAATACGATTCATACTAGTTAATTTTAATCTATATGAATTTCTTAACAAACACTTGGATGTGAAACATTACTGCGTTTTTATTGAATTCTTTCTAGACCACTAACTTTGATCGACGCGTGAATTCAACTGTTAAAATTACTACAACTCCACAAATCCTTATTTTGTTAGGTATTTATTAAACTAATATTATTATGCATTAACCACTGCTTATCAAAGAACGCACTAAATGCAAACATTTACATATTCATTTCAAAAGTAATGCAACAAAAAAATCAAAGATACAACTATGGTGAGATTTCCATTAAATTTTAATATTTTCTTAGCTTAGATAATTGAAGCTAAGAACAATCATTTGTGTAGAATAGATGAAAGTGGTTATCTAAACTCACTAGGTAAGTGATATTGAATTGGAACTTTAAGTAAAAAGGTACTGTTTTCAAATCCTTAAGTGAAAATAATCTCTGAGATGCAGAAAGATTAAGCTCACGAGCCTAAAATAGGACGCAACGCTTGTCCTGGATTTCACCGTCAGCTATATTCATTCGTGAGACAACAACTTTGTCGAGGTGATCCTCATAGAATGCACATAGGTCAACTATGACTCATAAAAACTCAGTCCAAATATATCAGGAAGCAGATGATCCTAACTTTTACAAATTAAACTAAGAACAAACAAATTCATTTGCTATTGTTTACATGTATCTTTCCGTTGTTGTTCAGGGCTGCAATTGATCTTGTTGGCATATGTGCATTCTGTGAGGACTGCCTCGATATTGTCTTAATTCACAAGCTTTATAAGCATATGGTACTGGGTTCGAGTCCCGGAGTAGTCATTAACTCTGGAATGCAGGTACATCCAGCTGACGAGTCCCAAATAGGACGAAACGTTCGTCCTGCATTCTACTGCTAGCCACCACTCATCTTTGCCAAGTACAAATATTTTATTGATCGATAACTTGAAATATTTCACTTTATAAAAAGAGTGTAAGGTATGTATCTTACCTATAAAAACCCAAAGCTCACAAAAAATTAATGATTTTTATGACAATTGGACATTTGATGTTTTACTGCACTATAAATAGTTTGTTACATTCTATCAGTCATTCAGTTGAATAATTTAAAATCAACTGTGACTGTTAAAAGTATGCAGAAAACAACTTCTGATTATTTGTGACTTTTTTGAAATATCCGAAATATCTTAGCTTATTGTACGAAGACAAATAAAATTTTGTTATCCTAGATACATGACACTCTCCATACCAATATGAAAAAAGCATTGTACAGTTAAAAATGTAACATAAATGGTTGATTGAAAATTAGTGACAGTAGGATTTCCTACATGTTTGTTTTCTGCGTAATATATATATATATATATATATATATATATATATATATATATATATATATCAGAAAGGGTTTTGTGGATATTAATTTCAATAGTTGAGTTCATGAATCAATTGAAGCTAGACCACCATTGAAAACCTAGAAGCACTGGACGGCCCTTTTGTGGGACTCATCCGTAGTGCGCATTCTCGATCTCGCCTCGCGAGATTCAAACTCAGGACCTTTCAGTCTCGCGCGCGAGCGCTCAAACACTAAACCACTGAGCCGGCATATATATAAATACATATATATGATTATCTATCTATAGGATCACTTTATTACTAAAATGTTTAGCGTGAAGTATGATTTTATTCAAGATATTCCTTGGTAAAACGATTTATACTCTTATAATTCGATTTCGACTTGTTTAGATCTGCTTTTTGATTGATCGAACATAATATTTTTGCGTTGTTTTTTTGTACTATCTGAAATTGGAGTAATTTTAATTTGGTTATTCATTCTCTGAAGAAGTGGCTTATATTGAGTCACGAGACGTCAGAACATCTAATGTTACTACTCATTGGGATATTACAAATATATTATTTTTATCTATAATTTTTAATATAATTTTCCTAAGATTATAATTTTTGTTATCGTTAAAAATGCTAGTTAACATATTATCATTGTCAACAAGTAAGATTGAGACATTCATATGTATAATAAATATACATCTACAGTTATTACTTCTTCATCAAAACTGAATTATCTGTGACAGATACTTTAAACCCATGCTCTCGACATTGAGTGGTTTTCTTTAGATATATATTTAATTCCCAAAGACTAACCTTAAATTTTAAGTGATTTAAAATAATTTAGCATTAAATTTTAGTGAATGTAGATTTCTTAATGATTGGTATTCATTAAGTAGTTATACCTCTATTCTTGTGAGAACCAACATTTCTTGATGGATTCAATCCAACGTCACTCACTTTCTCAGTTTGATACATTACCGCTGAGCTATTCAAGTTGTGATTAACTTTAGGCAGGACTAGAACTAAGTTTATCTTATTCTTTTATGAGTGTTGAATAAATTGAATCATTTAAATTCCAATGTAAATCTAAACAACTAGACATCCCATGCACTGTACTTATTTAGTCTAATGAGTTTAGTTTAGCATCAATTTGTAAATGTACAATAAATTTAAATAAATAAAAAGAAGTACCTACCACAAATCCTTCTTTCTTTAAACAACTAGCCACCTGAAAATGTAAAAAAAGAGTATTACAAAACAAAATTCTATCAACAATCAATAATAAATTCTGTTCAAAATAGAAATTAGAAATAGATTTCAATTTTTTTTGTATTTATGTTCTCTTTATCACTGCGTATTTGAAGTGATATACTGGCCAGTAATTATCGACAATATTATTTTTCACTTGCATTCTATTTATAGTAGACATCTGGTCGTTCACAGTATTGTTTCCTTTTTTGTGTGTGTAGAATTTCTACAATGATGATTATAATTACTGTTTTAACAATTAAGAAAGATTGGCGTTTTCATCTTCTATTAGCTTATGGATTTTAGTGAAATAATTTTGAATTTCTACAATATTAACATAATCTTCATTACGTATATCATAGTTGAATATGAATTTACCCTTGAATAGGTTGGTAACCAATAACAATAAATAATAATAAAATAATATTTATAACCTGAATTGTACGGTCGGATATCTTACCAAACTCAATTATAAACACATGAACTAGATAAAAATAAACCTGTGAATAGTGAATGTCTCGTAGAATTCATTATTTCTCAGACCGTAGTGAGAATACATTGTTGCCTATGTAATATTAACATGAAAAAGCTAAAACAAACTTATTTAAAATAATCGTGAATTAAAGCCAAACTGTGGTATTTTACAATAGTCTCCAAACAAAAACAAACTGATTAAGTTCGCTGCATTTATGTGTTTTTATCAGTGTAACTGTTTTAGTGAAGCCAGTTACATAGGGCATTTATTTATTTATGTAGTTCATAAAATCTCTGAATACAATCTAATTTGGATGAACAGAAGAATACTTGGAGATAACTTGTCATCTTCATCGTTTTTATTTTACATAACTTATGGTATCAAGCAAACAAGAAGGATTTTAATTTATTCACCATTTTACATTAAATAAAACGCATAGTTTGCTTGTTCATCTTTTGAAGCTATCGGAGTTCATATACACAGATCAAAATTTTGTGTTCAAGAGAAACTGCCACAGCCCATCTCTATTTTCAAGTCACTCTTTTAAGCTATACCAGAGTTTTTCATAACAGAATTTGTATTCTCTCCCTTCCTAAATTTCTTTCAGTTTTGTATTCATTACGTTTTTTTACTCCAATATGGCGATAATGAGTTCTCGACATGCTAAGAAAAATATCGTAGTAATTCTCTTCTTAGATATATACGAATGTACATCTTAAGTAAATGATTTCGTCGAAACGAAAGCTTTGTTCGCTCAATTCTCTTTTTCTAATTCAATGACACTATGGGTTATTTTAATTATCCTATATATTATTTTACTGATCAACATTACGAATAACTATTTTAAATATTATATTCACTTTATCAACTTTTGTTTAATTATTTGGGCTATCATTCGATGTTATTCCTTAATTGAATTGTGAAATGATAATATTTTTATGCAACAATACTACATGATTGCCATTCCATTATTATTGTGAAATACATACACGTTAGTGTAGATCCATGACGAAGAACTGATTGAAGAGAAACATTTCTTTGTTACGTTTACTTTTCATCTTATGTTCAAATGGGAATTTCCGCTTTACCAAATTTACTGATTGTTTAGGAGTAGTTAGATTATTTTACTATTTTGTCCACTGTCTGCGTATTAGTATTGATTAACTAGTTACTCTTGGAGTAGAGAGATACTTAAGGATAAAACGTAACATATACATCAGCAAACGTGTGCTAACAAAGATCCACTTTTAACTACATGAATACCAACTCAATTAATGTAGAAAAGAAACTACTGCTGGTTTGCAAAACTGAATTCATTGTAAAATGAATAGGTGAAGTAGATACATTCCATTCTTTCTTTTTTATTTGGATTTTTAATACTCATTTTTTTATCAAGATTTTCATAAAAATTATCTTTTGGTTTCTAGTGGTTTTACTGGGAAAAAGGTTACTCACAAGTGGTACTACGTGTAATTGATAAAAATCTGTTTTCATATATTTTAGTTATTGTCTTAAAAGTTACAATATTTATTATTAATGAAATGAAAAAGAGTCATTGGATTGTGTTGTAGTAATGCTTCGTGGCTATTTGGAACAATTTCGTCATATCCCTGTTCACTAAATATCAGTAACATTTGTAATAATCAAGTACAGAGAATAGGTTAATTGGTTTATAAACGCTGGATTCTTTCACTCTGACTGAAATCATGGACAAATGTCAATTCTGAATTATCGGTTTAAAGGTATTGTGCTAGCAACGTAATGTAAAAGTTACAGGTTATATCTTGGCTAATATTGTGTTTAGAAGTTGTTTTAAACTATAATTAAATAGCCGCGGAATGGTAAATAGTTTGCATTCGTTCAACAAAGTAACTCTGATATACAAGTTTGAATACGAAATGGGTTTATGTGGGATTTCTCAAATCGCCGTTGAATTCTTTATTGATGAGAATAGGATGTTAACAGAATATAGTATATAAAAGTGTTTCAGCTATCGAAATGATTGCCGAAAAGCTAATTAGATTAATTCATAAATTTACATTGAACAATGTTATTGAAATGATAATAACACTAATCTTTTCAATGATCTAATCAATGAATAAATCTGGTTAATAATTAGTGAAAATCAATAAAAATGAGATCAGCTGATATCATGTTTAAACATAGTACTTACATAGACAAATCATGTGCCATTGTCAAATATATGTACTATTAACATAAGTAATACTGATGTATTTCCCAGGTAAAATGTTTAACAAACTTTTTTCACCGTTACTTAGTGATTATGTTAAATTGTCTCATATCTTATTTCTGTTATAGACTAAAGGATTTGAGGCTCACTTCTTCAGAATGATATTTTTTAAATTTGGGAATATTTTAGAATAAATGAAGATATAATAACAGTATTTTTATTCTAATCTTTTATTTGAATAATAGATAAATATTTTAGCAACAAAACAATAACAGTCAAAGGAAGTACATTTTTAACTTAACCATTTACAATAAATTTTGTTTAGATATATTAATTTGGCGCCTAAATGTATCACAATTAAAAACATACCTTAGTCCATAGTAAAGTTTAAATTTCATCATAATGTGAATAATTGGACACATGTTCGATTTTATTATTCTTATTTAAACGTTCCATTGATTCATGTTTACATTAGTAACATTATAGTTATGAAAATAATAAAATTATTTACTTATTCATCATTATTATTATTCTGTTGTAGAGAGAATAATCTAAACTGATCTTAAAAACAAATAAAAACTTCTTTTTTGCCAAACAACAATAACATTTAATAAAAACAACAATAGCAACAATAGCAACAATAAAATACAGAATAAATCATCATATGAACAATGAAAAGCATTCAGTGTAACTTTAATAATTAAGTGTTAAAATGATGTTTACAATTTTAGGTTTGACTATAAATGCATTTATTAAAATTAGAGAGGGGTTTTATAGAGATATTAGTAATTGAATAATTGAATTTCTATTAGGATGAAACGGTCGTCCAGTACTTCCAGGTTTACCATGATGGTCTAGCTTCAATTGACTTGTGAATTCAAGTATTTATTAAAATAAAAATTATTTATTTTTAAGTTATGAAGGTAATTTATTGCATTATTGTTAAATGTAATTAAGACGAATGAATGGTTAATAATTAAAAAAAGGGCTAGAATTTTAATGAATAATGACTGAGATTCGAGTTGTTAAATCCTCTGCATGAATGTGGAAAGTAAAGCATTCTAGAAGATGAATCTTTAAGCTTTAGTACTGATTATTGTATTTATTTCATTAAATATTTCAACTAGACCAAATCATTACTCGTTATGAAGAAAGTTCCATTTTTGTTTCTGTAAATAATAAGTCACGTTAAAGAGGAAGAATGTATTTGTAAAAACTCGAATATCGATAATTTTGATAATTGACTGTATTTCCTTGAAAAAGCTTGGACCAGATTGCCATGCAAAATGTTGGATTTACTTCATATTCATTCGCTGAGATTCTAGAAATACATCCTTCCTCGGCGCCCAAATACTGTGCAACTAATTCATCAAATTTAGATGAAAGCACTTATTTAGTAATTCATCTTGTTAAATGTTACATAAATAACTCTGATTGTTCTGTATTATTTGATTTGAGCAACTCTTCTACTTAGTCTTCAGATTATAAACCCTTTATTCATAAAAACAAGTTATATTTATTTTGTAAAAGTAAAGCAATAGTCAGGAGAAATGTGTATTTACTGGGTACAGTTGTTCATTTGCATATTTCCGTGTTCTGATATCTGATTTCTTTACTCATCTAATATCCATTTATCATGACAACGCCGTGCTTTCTCTATAATGAAACCCTTCATTCCATCAGACAACTTTCAGTCCATGTTCAATACATACATACATACAACAAACAATGTTGTGAGTATCATCCACTAAATTATTATTGATGTTATAAAACCATATACAGCTGTGTTTACATATTGTTTTCCGTACGATTACAAATAGAATGTATTGTATGGAAGGTATAAGATTTCAAGAACAATAAAACTTGCCACCCAAGTTGTATTATATAATCACTACTTGTCCGAGAGATTATCTTGTATCCTTTCAATAAGATTTTAAAAACCTATTTATGAAAAAATGTTAGCTAGGGCTTACATAATCGTTTCTAATCTATTCCAGCGTCTGTTAAAGGTTGAATAAAATATATAAATGTTAGTACATTATATTTCAATCATGAAATAATCATAAATCTAATTTGTTTCTACCATATGAAAATTTTTCCTTGCATATATGATAACATTTATACTTTCACTGATAGGGTTTATGCATACTAGTGTACTACTGTAGATATAATATCATAGAGTGTTCATGTTCTGTTTTTTTAGTTTCATTTAAGATGATCAACGAGTTTGATTAGTTCGTATCCTTGAAGTTAGTTAATATAATCTTATTGATTAAGTATTATTTAATGATTATAACACATTAAATGTATGCATCAGTTTTTAAAAATATATAAACAGATGTTTATAGTTACTCTTAAAATGTTGTTGTTAGGCATGTTCTACCCTAAACTCTCTAGGTTTTTAGTTTTTTTTAAAGATATCTGTTCAAGACAAATAAAACATCCTAAAATAGGAAATATGACAATTAGTAATAGGTATCACAAAAAGACAAATAATAAACAATTAAACTCTAAATACTTTATCCTTGGTTTTATGATTACTAGTTTTCATTTCAATCGAGTCTAAACATCTTCGGAGTAAAGCATATATCATTAGATAATTAAAGTTAAAAATTTGGACTCCACTTAAATTTCCTGTATTTAATCCTTACTATGGTCTTCGACTGATATTACTTATAAGTTCAATCTCATAGTGAAACATCATTTTAATGCTTCCTGATTTCTAGCTATTCACCAGTTGAAGTTACTATTAAAAATCTATCATATACAGGTATATTCAAGTATTTAATTCAAATCTTCATTTATTTCTGAGCTAATGTGCTCGCTGCTGAGGAGTCCCATACCAGGACGAAACGGCTATCCAATACTTCCAGGTTTTCCATGGTGGTCTAACTTCAATTAACTCATGGGTTCAACGATTGAAATTATTAAAATCTCTACAAAACCCCGTTCTTAAACTAATTTATTGTTTAAAAGAATCAATCACTATCAAATGATTTTTATTATATAATCCATAAAGTGAATATTGAAACTTAAATAGATAGATTTGTTTTAAACAGAAAAAAAATAACCGGAAATTATAAATAAACAAAAATTTATTTAATTTTATATCAATTAAATACTGGAAAATAACAAATGTACCCTTAAATAGCTATTCATATTTCATGTACATAGATTATGAAAACAAGTAGTGAATTTATGATTAATAGTAATACAGATAACCAGGTGGAATGATTTGAAAATGGGGTTAGTTTTATTGATTTGATATATATGGTACATGATGAATCAAGGAAATAGTATACAATAATGAATTAGATCATTTCAATATAATATTTGTGTTTATATTTCATATAAGATAAACTCTGATTTGAGACATATAATATTGTTATTGTAATGGTATTTGTTTTAAACCATAATAATAAATAATGATAGAATATGATATAATTATGAAGTTAAAATATCAAAGGACACTTTACAGTTTTATAAATTCATTTGATAATTTCAATAAATAGTCGGTAAATTTTAATTAATTACAATAAACATATACGATAGAATAACTTAAAATGAATAGTGAATTGAAAATGAAGTTCAGGTTATTAACAATATAACAAAAAAGAGGTAAATAAGGTGTATATCAGAAGGGGTTTTGTGGAGATTTGAGTAATTTCAATAGTTGAGATTATGAGTCAATTGAAGCTAGACTGCTATGGATCATGATCTCAATTATTGAAATTATTAAAATCTCCATAAAACCCCTTCTGATATTAATCAACATATACTCATCAATGAATGGTTTCAAGAGTGATTTCCTGGAGTGATCACTGGAGTTCAATCGGGCCAGTTGTGAGATAGTAACTCACTAATGACAGTAGTGGATGTGTCACTGAATTTTGTGGATTCGTTGAAGTTAGACGTTAACACCGTTGGATGCCGGCCAGCTTAGTCATGTAATGGTTAAGAGAGACCTATAGGTCCTGTGTTTGAATTCCACGAAGCGGGAGCAAGGATGCGCACTGCTGGGGAGTCGCATAATAGGACGAAATGGCAGTCTAGTGCTTTCAGTTTTCCCATGATGATCTAGCTTCAATCGACTCTTGATCTCAACTATTAAGTTGTATATGTTTCTTTTTGAAATAACGTTAATATACTTAATCACATACATTGGAACTAGTATCTCTCATTAAAATGTCAAAATAGTTGTATTGCTCCAATTATTTGAATAATAACAAATTCACAGGTGCATATATAATTAGTTTTAGAGATTATATCGCTAATATATTTTAACACAAATATTTATATACTTTAAATGATAATGATTAAAAATATGTCAATATTCTTATATCTTAATAGAGATAGAATAGAGAATTGAATTAATATCTCTTATCTATGATAAAATCACTTTTAAATGCTTGAATGGTTAATTTATATTGTTTTTTTGGAAAGTAAAATGTTCTAGTGAGATATTTTTGACATTTCCAGTTGACAGAATATTCCTTTATACGATAAGAATAGCTCAAAATAAACTTCCTTATCAAAAACCTTAATTCAGTCAACATGTGTTCAGCCAACAATGAGCAATCTTTCACAAGAATATATCCTGTTAACATCAGTCTACCTAGTTCCGCCAGACTGAGAATCTTTCAGACAGCTGAAGCTAATACTGTTCGGATCAAAACGCCAGAGCTTTACATCCAAAAGAAATATGTTCAGCCGATCCTTTTACCCTGGCCAACTTCGGGGCCAACTAGTTATGAATCAATCTTATAATATGGTGACGTAATTTGACTAATGTTCGTTTTTATGTTACAAATTTATCTTATCATTATTATTAGTATTATCTTTATCAATGTTATTTTTAATACACTTGATAAATGTTTTGAGAAATTTATTCAGCATTCACCCCTATCTACTATATCTGACCTAATTCATATTATTCCACATATTACGTAATTTTTTATTTTTATTCCATTATTATCAGAATGGGTCTTGTGGAGAGTTTTAGAAATTCCACAGGTTGAAATCATGAGTCGATTGAAGCTAGTTGGTTGAAGTTACACACTAACAGCGTTGGATGCCGGCTCAGTAGTCTAGTGGTTAAGTGCTCGCGCGCGAAGCCAGTAGGTCCTGGGTTCGAACCACGTGTGGTTCGAGATCGTGGATGAGGAGTCCCATACTAGGACGAAACGGCCGTCCAGTGCTTCCAGGTTTTCCATGGTGGTCTAGTTTCAATCGACTCATGATTTCAACTTGTGATATTCCATTATTCTTTCTCTTTCTCACACTCCATGTTGATCATAAATATTCTGGTCATTTATCTCACAATTTCATTTCGATTATAAACTGATACACGTTAACACTTCATATTAGTCAGTCCCAGAATTGACGATCTGATTTGATTTTATATGACAAACAACAAATCTTGATTCGTTTATTACAATTTCCAAATGATGTACTCTGCTTTAAATCTGACCAATTTTATGGACTATTAATTTGGATTTATAATTGTAGAACCTGATGAGAAATTCATTCAAAAGAATATTCTTCGTTCATACAATTGTGTTTTTAATGTAATGAGAACAATCATTTAAAATGTTTAATAGATTTGTACATTTTTCAATAACTGAATAGATGATAGATTGTATTAATTCATTATTTACATAGACCGTATGATTGGAAGTTGAATAGATAAATACTACATTTCAATTATGGATATTTTGTAATAGACTTATGTTACATCTGAGGTGTTTGAGATACATTTCTGCTTTGTCATTGAATCAATACACATATAAATATACTCAAAGGATTTTTGTGTCCTACATTATACTTAAAAATTCTCTGGATGAAAAACTTGTTAAAGAGCAGAAGATTGACATTGAATTTTACACATCAGAGCACACTGTTGTTTTACTGATCATAAAATGATTATTATGTATCTATTCGTGTTGTTGTTTTTGTTTACAATGATTTACAAGAAGTTAACTCAATGTAGATGACAGTGATTATTATTTCTAATCAATAAACGATGATTATGGCATATTTCATCATTTAGAAATTTTGATAGCCAATATAAAATTTGTTTATAACAAGTTGATATTTACTTAATTACAAGAGAAAGGCAACAAAATGTAAAAAAATGGCCAAACTCATTACAAAAGTGATTATGAAAAACCTGCTTTATTTACTATACAGTGAATGTAGAAAACATGGTAAATTGTTGTTTAAAAAATTGTCTGGTAATCTATAAATAAATAATATATTTCTAATATCCTAATGAGTAGAAAAATCTGATTTTTTCATGTATCGTGACTTAGTGTAAGTCACTTCTTCAGAGAATTTTCGGAATAACGTTTATAAATGTTAATTTTGTAAGCTGAGGAACTAATGAATTTGTTTCAGAATGAATTAAATCAACCTAGTAGTTAGAATTATTAAAACATAGGGAGGAAAATGTACGATAATAGATCCACCAAACATTAATTTAGTACAGTTTGTGGAATATTAAGTTACTGACTGTTCACAATTCGCTTTTATTTAAAAACACGTACGTAATATGAAGTATATCAACAATTAACAAATACAATAGAGACACAATTATGAGTTTATGTTTAAACACAATTATAATATTGGTCATAATTAAAAAGCTTAACTGAACACTGGGAAGTATTTCATAAAATGAAATTTAGTGTATATAAGGAATGAAACTGAAAAAAAGCATGATTACTATTCACTATGTATGATCAAATAAGTGAGACTTACCAGCAGATGGATACTTCTGAATGAAGATCGCGATTTCAAATGAATGTAATTTCTTGTTTATTTTTATGAAAATGTTCACTGATCGAAATAGTTCCTTGAAATAAATAATATTCAGGTATTTTGCTATGTTTATTACTGTTTCCAATACTTTAAAGAATAAATTTGCCTATTAGATATATTCTAATAATATATGTCTTTATAAATCAAAAGATGATTAATTCAGCAGTCAAGCATTCATTTATTCTTTGATAATTTTAGAAATAAGATGAGTGAATATACAAAAGTTATTTGAAAACAAACATTTTCTGTTTGGATATTTGAAATTCATCACGGAGGATATGATGTAGTTCCACTATTTATCCTTTTCTAATGATTACAGACTACTTGATTGTTTTATTTCAATTCACTGTTTAGATATTCATGTGATAAACTGAAATAAACTTCACTGATGTATTTCTTTTACTCAACAACACGTGTGCAGATAGATAGATTATGCTGAAATCACACGAGTTATCATATCTTTATCTCATGATAACAATGAACACAGTTAGCCAATATTTGTAATGTAAAAACAATATATGATTATGATTATATTATAGTTAATTTTGTTTCTCTGATTAGAAAAGTATTCCCCACAACATTAACTACTAATAAATGTCCAAGGTTATACCTTTATTCTCAAGGTTAGTTATTTGGCATCAAGTATAATAATACAACGATAATAGTTTTGTACGAAATAACCAATCAGTGAAATAGCAAGATTTAATTTGTTCTTAATATGGATACTAATCAGAGTGTATATATGTAGTACAACTAGTACAATACGTCATCCATTGATAATTGAAATAAATAGATAAATAAGCACTGTTGATTGGCTAACAAGAATATAGTAAGTGTGCTTACTAAATTTATAAAAACACAATTACCGTAGATCAGAAGAAATATTTCGAATTCTTAAATGAATTGAGGACGTTTAAATTTGATAAATTTCTGCAATTGTGATTTAAACTACTTGAACAGTATGATAAGTATTTATGATGTAAAACTTCTAAAAGTTCTCGCAAAGAAATATTTTAACCTTTACAAAACATAATTTGTAGGACAAGACGACCGTCCAGTGCTTACAGGTTTTTTGTGGTGGTCTAGCTTCAATTGACTCATGATTATAACTACTGATATAAAGTTATTGTCAGAATTTTATAAGACTTTGATGAATTTCAAATTTACGAGAGTTATAGAAGTTAATATACTGATATACTGGAAAGATTATAGGGCTTCGACTTTGGTTTTAACCAGAAAAGTCAATATCATTGAACTTAAGAGATATTTTTGATGCAACAACAAATGAAGATGAAATGCCTCCGAATATTGTTACGTATCAGATATCCTGAATCACAAATTTACAGAGTACTTGTTTGTACCGGAGACCCTGATGATGGTCTTAATTAACTCAGCGTTTTCTGAAACATTTAACTACTAAGATACGACAACTCATGAAATGTTTCCAGTAAATTCAATGTCAGCTGTGAAACGTAAATTATCCGAGGTATCACAACATCATCTTACAATTTAATAAAGGAAAATTTACAACTATGTAGTGGTAGCTGATAGAAAACTTACTGACGATAAGCGCCATAAACAAGATGTATGCCTCTTAATTGCATTTTCTTCAGGTTTGTTTCCAGAAGGTCAGCAATAACCAAGCTAAAAATGAAAGCACTGTCTGATTATTGCAGGAATAGTGAGGATAATAGAAAGATACAAGCATGTTTTGTAATGCGATTCTCTTCCTTCAAATGCGAATGTTGCTTCAGGATCAACTTGCGTCATAGTCTCGATTAATGATGGGAAGTAAAGTAGGTGAATGGACTGGTCTCCTCAACGATCAGAGGAATTTCATCAATCCTGATGGTCTGGTGTCTGACGGTTTCACTAGGTTACATTGGCTTTTACCAACTTGCATCACTTACAGCTTAGATGACATTTCCGTCTTCCAACGAAGGAGGGAGTTTACTGAGTTGTTGTTTTTTGTAAAGTCGTCGACTTAGAAGAGTGAACAACTTTCTACAAAACCATCCACTTGATTACTAATGTGTGTTAATTACAAGTATTCGAATTGATTTGTTAACTCATAATTCCCAGAATAGTCCAATTTAAGACAAACAGAACTCGACGAACGCGACAGAACGTTTTATATTTGAAAGTCGAAATGGCTGCTGAATAAAATACGAAAGAAACATCAGTTAGTATAAATACCACATTATTTTATTCCTATGAGAAACCTGGTACAAACTGATATTACTTGCTATATCAGTAGACTAGTATTCTATAGTTTTAAGTTTCGTACGTCGTCCTAGTGGTAAACTGTTCAGGTCTTCCAATGTTGAAATAAACTAATACAAAGCGCTGTATGTTTTCCACAGTTATGTTTTATAATTACATGCGACATGAATCATACTGTTGTAGTATGGTTACTCGTAATACTATCTATCAAATTAGTAATACTGTCAGTCATTTATGATGTTTACTACAAAAGATTAGTTAATCCGATTTTTCTTTATTTTAATTTGCGAAAGATTACCCAACAAACAAAATTTAAATAACTTGGCTATAGGAATTTACATTTAATCCCACCGAAAACCATCTGGTAAAGATCCACGGATCATCAAATTCAGATTGATCTCAAAATACGGCAATATTCAACCGGATTGGGACGGGGTCATAATGGAATTAGATAAAAAAAGTCGATCTTCTATATTGTATTGGTTTATTTTCAACAAATGAGTCAAAGATCTGTCTCAGAAAATAAAATTTATCTAAATGAAGCTAACGTGAATGTAATGAACTGATCCAACCAGAAAAGCCTTGAATCTAACTGCGCGGTAATTAATAAGACTATTCTGTCTAGACGGTCTCCTCCTGTTTCATTGTATCTGCTCATGCTTTTTTTCTGACTTCATCAATTATGGGTCAGTAAGATAAGCATGAGAAAAATGTATAACTCATAGATCAAAAGTAAATATTCTACTGAGACTAACTAACATCAACAAATATATTTGGATTCATTAAAATGAATGATAATTATATGCAAATAAACTACAAAATGTAATATACATATATCGTTATTACAAATTACTCAATATCAAATAAATCAATTTTATTTGTTTGGCATGATTTCATTGTGATAATGTGAAAAATGTCTATGTAATAACTTACTGAATTTACACGTACTTATTCATTTACACCTGTTACCCTCACTGTATTATAGGCCGCCGACCAGCATTCTTCAACCCACTCTGTCGTAGGCCTTCCTTTCTAGTTCTATTCAATTTTTGTCTATTTTTCTCATGTCTGTCTCCATTTCTCAGTGTAATGTGTTTTTTAGTCTTCCTCTTCTCTTTTGACCTTTGAGATTTTAAATGAGATCTTGCCTTGTAATGCAGTTGAGTGCTTTCCACAATGTGTATTATATCCACTTTCAGCGCTTCTTTCTAATTTTTTCCTTCTCTGGAATCTAGTTTGTTCTATGCCACAGTACAGTGTAAATGGATAATCAGCATGTTTAGTTGTTTCTTGTGAAACAGTTCGTTTTATTGTTATTTTAATAAAATAAACAAACTATCAAAATTGATTATCCATGTAAAGTTGAGTATTAAGTTGTTTGTAACTTTAACAAGAGAACAATCCGTAATATGGTTACTGAAAAGTATACTATGATAATATGAATAAAATTATTAAGTAATATAAAGGTTGAGAGTTTCCATGGAGATTGTTTTCATTATTAAACCAATATATATAATTGATACGGATAAATTACATGTCCCAGTTTGATTTTATCTTGATATCATGAAGCTTCAAATAAATCATATGTGAATGATTATCACTTCAATTGTGAAATTGGTTTATGTTGCCTTAATATCAGTTGAATGTTAACAGATTTATTGTATGGTCAAGTGATAGTTACTTGTTCAGAGTTACTTGGTAAAATACAAAAACCATACTATAATACCCAATTTGCAAAATGTTCAATAATTGTCTCGGACTGCCTAGTTCTTGCATTTTCATACCAAATGCTTTCTATTTCCGTTCTTCCTTTCTTGATCTTCCTAATCTTCTGCTGCTAGACATTACATTCCTGACTCGCGTCATATACTACTTATGTCAATATAAGTAGCATGCACCACAATAGTTTTACTATAATAATATTAATTGAAACTGTGTAATCAAGTATTCAGATCAAGTTCATTAACTTTCATTGACATATTTTATTAAAATTGAATTCTATCTCAAATTTCATGCTTTTAGGAACGAAAAAATCAAAACAAACTTATATCAACGTATAACTTTATTTTTATTTAACTCAATTCAATAATTTTTACGCGCTAATTTTGAAAGTGAATGATCTAGTTTTAGATATTAATTACATTGTTGATTTTGTATATCATAAGGTTTAGTAACTAAGTTAAAGTAAATAAATTTGGTCATTTATCAAAATAATTTTGTTTTTGTTTTTTTAATATTCAGTCAATAGAATCAGTAAATAAATCCATTTTGAATCAGTCATGTGAAACTGTTAATCCTATATTTTGATTATCATCAATTTAATTGGTTTTCTTGTAAAGGAAGAACATGTCTACTATGGATTTTGTAAAGTTATAATTTATCTTTCTTCTTTCTCAAGAATAGTTAGTTGACGCCATGGCATATAGGTGAAGTTGTTATGTTTTATATCTAATTAATCATATTAGTTAGTTCTATATGTTTTTCATCTGGTGTTTTATGAAGAGAGAGATAAAATAAGTGGTAATCATTTCTATCATTTATTCGTATTCCATATGCATAAATATATCAGAAGAGATTTTGTGGATATGATATTAATTTCAATGGTTGAAATCATGAGTCAATTGAAGCTAGACCACCATGGAAAACCTGGAAGCATTGAATGGCTATTTCATCGTATTGTGGAATTCCTCATCAGTGAGCATCCACGATCACGCCTCCCGGGATTCGGACCCATGACCTATCAGTCTCGCGCGCAAACGCTTAACCACTTGACCAGTGAGCTGACTGGCATCCAACGATGTAGATGTTTAACTTCAATTAATTGGTGAAATTGAGTGACATGGCTTCCAGCTTTTCTATGGTGGTCTAGCTTCAATTGAATCATGATCTCAACAAAAATATGTGTTCAGAATAGTAGAAATAGAGAAGTACTTCATTCCTATGTGAAAAAGTTGAATAAAATTGTTTATTGTTTTAAAACAATTTATTGAAGTATTTTTATCGCCATAAATTCTTTTGTTTTTGGTAGTAATTTAAGAAACTTTCAGTTGTTACTATGACGTTCAACATATATTCCAGACTAATTATCATGTTTATTCGTTGAGAAGAGATCCCTTCGCTGTACTTCATGTGTTTAATTTTTAATGTTTAAATGGGAATTATCTGTCATGTTTATTTGTCAAATATTTGTACACTGGTAAAACACTATATAACATTATATGATAAATTAAACATTTGATAATTAGGTGTATTTGTATTTCAGAATTTTATCAGAAGTGTATTCAAGAAAGTTAACTTTATCTAACACAGTGATATTTTCAAGTTATAAACTATAAATAGATTTTCTTTATGTTCTAAACTAAATGATCATTACTAAATTATGTCAATTAGTTTAACGAGAAATCATTTCAAGAAACTTGAAATCTCAACATATTTTTTTGTCATTCTGCACATTATAAACACATTCTGACATCTGATAGTCTTATTTTGAAGTTACAGGCTATTATTAATTAAAAAAAATTAACACTGGTACAGAAA